CTGGATAATCTGCAAAGCTCTTGTGTTGCTCTGCTGCAGGGTTCACACTGTACGAAGACTTCACTCCCTAAAGGGAGATGAGCTCTGCAATTGAAAAGCCCTGCATTTTTTTCAGTCAGAACATCAGTGGCTTGGATGTTGTTTTGGATAAAGTCTAAAACAGTGCTCCACAAGGGTCAGGCTGCAATGTAGAGTCCCTTGATAGAGGAAGGATTTCAAGATACTGGCATGTTGTGCGCTTGTCTGGGTGTCCCTGCAGGCAGGTGTGCCAGGACATGGGATGTCTGCTGCTCCAGGAGGATCCAGGGAGTCTGCAAGTGCTCCAGGTACCTGAAAACCAAGAGCACGGTGTGCTGATAATTTTGCCTGCTTTGTTTCACTTGTATCCTTTGTTAACAAAGAACAGTCTAGAGGGAAATAGTCTATTATTAATATTTAATTTCCTCCTATTACTGTAAGCAGATGACCTAAAGATCATTTAGCCAAGAGCTAATAATAAAGCAGATAGAGCAACCAGAACAAGTGTGGCTTGGTTAGTAAGGTGATGCCTCCTTACTCCTCTCTTTCGTGCCCCACCCCACTGCATTCCTCCATCCTTAAGGGAGGAGAAGCACTGGGGCTGTCTCCAGCCCTCTTGTGGTGGGTCAGGGCTGTAGGGGAGCTGCTCTAAATGAGGTGTGCTCATAGAACATATTGGGGTTCAGAAAACAAACCTGCAGGCAACACTGAAATGTGCTGCTGCTGCCTTCCCTGTTTGCACTCTGTTTACAGTCTGAGCTGTTTTGTGAATTGGTGTAGTGCCTGTGTGCACATTGACTCACTGTGGTTTGATCCTCTAGAGAAATGAGGAGAGAGAGCTTTCTAAGAAACTTGAATATAAAAGATAGCAATATTCTTTTTGAGCTGAAGGGCTTTAAGTGAGGATACGAAGCAACAAGCATCCCACCTCAGGACTTTAGAAAGTAGGAAATGACTGCTTTAGCAGCAGTAATGTTGTGCTTGCAGCCATGTGTGAATGGAAGGAGGTGATCTGTAGGCAGCTGGTACCTGAGGAGGGCTGCATTGTCTGACAGAGATGCTGGATGGCAACCCATGGAGTGAAGCTGGATGAGGGCTCCCCCAGGGCCCTGTGAGCTACCTGAAGGGACCAAGAGCAGGGAGTGAGTTTTTTAGAGATGGGTGGTGGGAAGCAAGCAGTGGCCAAGGGCTCGCTCCAAAGCTTTAGGTGGTCAGAAGGATGAAGGGGCAGCTCCTTAGTCTAAAGCCAACTGGAGATGCCAAACAAAAGCTTGCTTGGTCTCCAGTGGTGAATTGCTTCATGGGAACATGCTGTGCAGGTGCTTTATTGAATTTTCAAGGTGCAGTTTTTCACTGGGGCTGAAATGTGAGAGAGAACAGAGTGTTCCAAGTCACTAAAAATGAGCAGAGCAACAGCTTTACAGGTTTGTGAGTGGACAAAAAAAAAAAAAAAAAAAAAAAAAAAAGGTTTATTTAATAATAGGGAAAAAGCCAGAGCATGGCCCAGGGTATCAAGGAAGAATTAATCCAATTAACAAGACAAAACATGAGCTTGAGAAGAAATACTAATTGTAGCTGTCCAGCAGATTGTGTGATACAGATTATTTTTCTAAAGTTTAAAGAGGCTTGCTATATTGATCCCTCAAGGGCCTGAGCTGTTAAATATACACTTCCCCAGTGAGTAAAACAAGTTGTTAATTAATTTTGTCTTGTCAGACCTGGTTGCTGAGCCTTTGAGTCTTGCGTGAAGTCAGTGATTTTGTAATGTATCTTCTTTTCTGGGTGGTCTGTATTTCATTTTGTCTCTACACAGTGAATTTCTAGTGATATGCACAGGAAGATTGGCCCTTTCCTTGTTTTAGAGTGAGCTGCAAACGGGTCTGTAATTTAAGATGCATCACGCTGTTGCAAGCTAAAGCTGGCTGGCACTGTGAGAGGTCAGTGAGACACAAGGGAAGTCTGGGGTGATGTGGGAGCCCCCTGAATGGTGACACCTCCATAAGTAGTAAGTGAGAGCACTGATGTGCTGGTGTTGTGTGGTGAGCAATTCCTGCTTCCAGCAGCAGTTGCTACTGCAGAAGCACTGGTGCTGATGCAGACACAAAATGTTGTTTGGTTGTGACTGGGACACCTGCTCAGCTCTGGTCATTTCTCTTCTGAGATTTGCTGGCTCTGCAGAACTCTTAAGTGTTTTCCAGTCCATATGGGAGCAGATTGGGGTGGAAGGACATGTCCTCCTCTGGACACAACGTCTTGCAGACTGCTTCTCAATAAATAGCTAGGCTGAAGAATTAGCCCACCGGTTGTGAAAGGGAATGGGAAACAAGGGGCCAAACAAATTGAAAGCCAAATTGAAAGGTTAAAACAAGACTGAAATAAACTGTTGAACTAGAAGGTTGAAAACTGCTGTATTAGAAAACAGTATGTAGTGTGGTCATTAAGCTTCAGATTCTGGCATTGTGCTTTTTCAGAGCATGTGCAGAACTGTCAGTAATTCCAGCATCATCTTTGTGCTGAATAATTGGTATGAGAGGAACTCTTTGGAGCAGGTGTGTTGCTTTACTTCATGTCCTGTTGGAAAATGAGTTTGAGGTGAGCAACTGAAAGAGCCAGGTAAAGCAAAATGCAGGAGAGATTAATAATTCATAATCCAAACAAAGGAAACTGTAGCACTGGGAAGAGTATCCCCTGCTTCACTGACAGTCTTAGTTACCCCATCACCATCTCTGCAGCCATGGTTCTGTGGGCCATGGGAGCCTGCACACACCTGACAAACACAAGGTGTTTCTCTTACATTCTTGTTTTTCCTTTGATTGTTTCTTTGGCTTTTGCCAACTTCTATCCTGCCGTTCCCCCGCCCATCCCTGTCTTTCTCTCTTACACAAAGTGCTGTCGTTTATTTTCTGTCTTTGTTTTCTTTCCCTCCTGATTTTCTTTGTCCCTATCTGATATTCTGATCTCCTTCTCTGGAAGGCAGGCTGCAGGGGAGATTTCATTATCAGTGCCTTGAAACAAACCTATTGGGACTTGAAATGGACAATCAAACATTGGAGAAGTGATGTAAGAACACATTGCCAACAACCCTGAAATTCCAAGAGGTAGAAGCAATCCGCGGGAGGTCAGTGGAAAACAGGGTTTTTGCTAAAGGAAGATAAACAATATAGAGACTTCTTGGGGTTTTTGTTCTTTAGAAAAGATTAAATGGATGATCTTTATCTCCCTCTTAATAGCTATATCACAAACTAATCTATTCTGTTCATTTCTTCCACGCAAACCAAACAAAACATACAAAAGATTGTTGGAGTGAAGGAAAAGCTGGGTTTTTGAAACGTATCCAAGCCACCAAGAGCCATTTACTTTCCTTTCAAATGCTGCATTAGCAGTAGAGCACTAAATCAATGAAAGGTCTAAAATTAGATTATATTCCTGAGATCAGATGTGAATCACGAGTTAATCATATTTTCTTTTATTATCACTGTCTTTACCCTTTTATTTTGTCCTGAGAAATTAGGTTTCTGACTTCAAAACAGTGAACTGTGAAGGCATGCAACCTGCTGGCTTAGGCCACGGCCCATCACTAGTGGATGAGGTACCAACAATCATTTGTTTTGGAGTTGTGTGTTGCCTCAGAACCTGAGTTAGTCATTTATTAGCCAGTGCTATGTCTGCCTCTCTCCCAGCCCTCCGATGGTTTCAGTCGCTGCTTTCAGAAATTAGTGAGAAAGTATTGCAAGTAAGCCTGGCTAAATGAGGTTTAAAACCCAGTTTGAAAGCTACAGGGTAGCACAGCAAACAGTTCTATTGACTGTGGCATGGATCTCAGAAAACTGTATTTTCTGTTGGCAATGTTTTTCGCTGAAACTGTGGTGAAATGCCCGCATTACTGAAAGCAGAGATACCTGCAGGATCAGCGTGCAAATGAGGCACACAAGCATGTAGGTGGTGTGTACCTATTCGTGTGGAACAGCATCTGTAGCAGTAGTGTTACCCTGCACCATGGTGAGTCCCAGGTTTGTGTGTGATGCAGGAATATGAATGTGCACTCTGGGAAATGGTGATGGCATTGTGCCTGTGTGTGCATTTCTAGCAGGGGTATATCCTGGATGTGTTCCTGGCTGGTAGGAGATGCAGAATCAAGTTGACTTTCTCTGTGAAGTGTATCGGAATCTATGGATGCAAAACCAAAAACAAAAAAGCCAACACTACGTACAATGCTGGTTTAGCAAACAAAATGGTTTGCCTGTAGGATAAAATTTAAGTGAGCAAGAAGATGGTGTTGCAGGAAGGCAACCTAAAGACCCTTGTAGGATGTGTCCATTCCCAGCAGGGAAGTACTGACACTGCTGTCTGACATGCCTTGAGCTATTTATTCTCCCTGCTGCCAATTGCATTTCAGTATGCATGCACTTGGAGGAAAAACAGGGTGTGGGAACAGAGTGAATGCGTGTGCCAGCAGCATAACCCTCTTATGAATGAGCGTTCATGCCATTGCTGGGCTGTATACTGGTGCAACACTCCTTTGTGCAAGGTATGTGAGGGTGGGCTGCACGTGATGGCCTGAGCCTGTGTTTGTGATCAGAAGGAGACAGGTGTATGTAAAAGTCTCCTCCACCTTTCCTCTGTGCAGCCACAGAGCTTGCCAAGGCGTAATTAATGGGGCTCTCATGTTTCAGGGCAGACTATCGAGCAGCTGCAAAAGTGCCAGCTCAGTTGGTAGCCTCAAAAACAAAACATCTCTTGTTTCTCATCACCACTGCGAAATGCTGCCTTCCTGAGCCTTGGGTCTGGCTTTGCAGCTTTCAGGATAGGCAGAATGTGAGATTTTTGCCAATGATGTATTCTTCTTGGTCTGTTTAATATCCGTTATCAATTTAATGTGCCACTCTAATGAGATTTTGCTTTTTCCATCTCCGCCGTAGAGCTGATTACTTAGCATATGTGGTTTTTCTTTGGTTATTATTATTATTTTATTTTTTTTTAAGGAAACTACAAGAGAAGTTGAATGTTTGCTTCGGCTGAAGAGAAAGTTTCCCAAGTCTTGGGCAGAAAAAGGGAAAGAGAACGGAGGATGTTGCCGGTAGGTATGTCTGAGAGGAAGCCATGACTAGCAGTGTGACTGTCAACAGGAAACAAAACTTCACAGCCGATGTGACGCTGACGTGCAGAGCACTTGCTGTGTCATGTTGCCAGCTGAACTCTGTGACCTGGGGAGCAGTGTTTGACTACACGAGGTGTCCTTCTGTCCATTCGTCTGCAAGAATTTGAATTGCTCTGTGTCTGGTCACTCCACCTTGCCGAAGCTAGCGAGCCCTGTCTCTTTCCTCTTGACACCTGTTCCTGTGAAGACATCCAGCAGCCATGTGCAGAGAGGTGAATGTGTGAGCCACCCTCACGGCAGCCGCCGAGCGCTCTGCAGACTGCAGACAGCTTCGAGGTGTTTTGGCTGTTCAGTGCTCTGCAGATATGAACGCTGAGCTTTTCTGGCACGTTCTCACATTGGCCTGGTCGCTCTCACCATGCTAGTACATGGGAAAGAAGACTTCCTCTCAGACATAGCTTACATCATCCTGGAACTGATCATTGCGGTGCTGGCCATCCTGGGGAACGTCCTGGTCTGCTGGGCGGTCTATTTGAACAGCAACCTGCAGAACGTCACCAACTATTTTGTGGTATCCCTGGCTGCTGCTGACATTGCGGTGGGAGTGCTGGCAATCCCCTTTGCCATCACCATCAGCACTGGCTTCTGTGCCTTCTTCTATGGCTGCCTTTTCATCGCCTGCTTCGTCCTGGTCTTGACGCAGAGCTCCATCTTCAGCCTGCTTGCTATTGCCATCGACAGAATCATTGCCATCCGCATACCCCTCAGGTAAGCAGAGTGGGCTGAAAAGCAGAGGGGGCACTTAGTGGGGAATGAGCATCAGTAAAAGCAGATTTCGAGGTAAACTGCAGAAGAGAGAGCTAATGAGTAGCAGCATTTTTCACCTTGTAATTTGAGAAAACAAACTGAAACCCACATTCCTGGGGGCTGCCTTGGTTGCTGGATTTGTGAGTGATTTCTTTCCTGTTCTACCCAGCCCTCATATGGCACATGCCCAAAGCTTTGCAGTGGAGCTGCTTGGAAGTTGCTGCTCCATATTTAGAAAGGAGCACACTGTACACTCGCAAACCTGTGCTCTGAGCCCTGACCAGCAATACAAGTGCTGCAGGAAAGTGGAGCTAAAGAGAAGAGAAGCAGCATGTGGCCACTCAGAGCCCACACTATAGAGGTGATTTCTCTTCCCCACCAAGCGTCTGGGCCAGCCCTGCGTGAGCACCCATCACTCAGCAACAGCCAAAGCACATCAGTGTGCAATTAACATTGCCTCAGCTGAAACCAGGGCACAGGGAGGGCACAGTGCAGGGCTGACTCAAGTGATGGCAAATAATGTTATGCATTTTGATGGGCTGCCTGAACACAGTCACGTGAACAGTGAAAAAACACACAGCATTGCTTTCCATTTTGATACAGGAATTTGTGAATAGATTCCAAGATTTCAAAAAGAGAAATCATCAATTTATGTTTGCAACTCCTTTTTCAGTTATTATGAATACACGACCTGCAAATTTTCAAATGGAATGTATACAGCTGCAATCTGATATTCAACTCCACAATTTGATCATGTCTCTTTACTGGATTTCTGTAAGCCCTCTCTTATCAGAGAGAAATATCCCTCACAACCACGCCTTATTCATGTCATCCTCTTTTGGCAGTACACACATTTATGAGCAGCTGTTTTCAAGGATGAAGCGCAGGAGTAATATTTCATCAAAAATCTCTGATGGACACCTTGAGAGCTCACTGAGACTGGCAGCCACTGTCACTGAACCAGTTAGTTTCAGAAAAACAAGGCCAAATATCCCACTAGTTTTATGCATTTGTTGCTCTCTTTCTATTAAAATGTAAGAGATAAATGTCTTGTTACTTATATATTACCCATATTGTATATTTTATAAAGGCTGCTCCAAAAGTAAGGCCTCCTGTTGGGCATCCTAATGATGTTGGCCTGTGATGTCAGAGGCAGATGTTGGTGGGATGGCCATAGAGAATAAACCTTCCCACCAATATTCTGTTTGATTCCATTGCTGTGTGACAGATGGCAGCAGAGGGGCACTGTGACAAATGGCATCTGGCATGGAAGTGTGAATGAAACAAAGGTGTGGAATCGGATTCCTCCATGTAGAAAAAAATGGCCCCCATTGATATGCATTGATACTTGCTGGATGTTTATGAAGTTTAAGGACAGTGGGTTTGTTCCACTGGTGCAGATATTTATGGGCATAGCATACAGGCTTTTATTCATGGCTAGGAAGAATGAGCAGCTAATGATGGTGCCTATGGTAAAAATAGTGTTTTGTAGCTGAGAAGTTGTTCTATCAGGGAGTATTATTGTGCTTTTCATATCAGCAGTATTTTCCATTGAAATAATCAGGAGGCATTACTTTCGGAGCAACATATGTAGATGCAGCCCAAGACAATTCCTCTTCACTCAATGCAGCCCAGGCAGGCCAAAAAAGTTGGGCACCCCTGCATTAGGTCAAGAGAAGGGCTTGTCCCCATGCCAGCCTTGAAGGTGGTTGTTCTATGGTCTCCACTTTGGAGTTTAGAGGGCAGCCTGGTCTGGTGGTTGGCTACCCTGCACATAGCAGGGGGGGTTGAAACTTCATGATCATGGTGGTCCTTTTCAGCCCAGGCCATTCTATGATTCTATGATTTAAATACTTGAGTTTGGAAACTGGATGTGACTAGCTGAAACGTGGTGTGCAGCCAGGGAGGATTTGGGACAAGGAGGAGTTTTAGTATGTGTGCAGGGGCTGTTACTCAGTTCAGCCTTCTGCACTGTGTTTGGATACATCTGCCTTTGGGTGCAAAACAGCAGTGTGTTTGTGGGCTGGGTCTGAATGCTTTGTGGCAATGCTTGAGTGTTGTTCAGCAAGCTCGAGATGCAGAGGAAGCCCTGGGAGAGACCAAGGCTGGCAGAGCATAGGAACCCCCTTGTTTCCCATCTTGTCCTTAGGAGGACGCAGCATGCTCTCACCAGTGGAGAGACTTCCTATCCTGTTGAGTAATAAATACGACTGCAAAAATGGAACAAAATTCTCACTATTGTCCTCTCAGCTTGGGGGTTTTGGTTATCCTCACTCCTGTTGAGTTTAAATCTCTTTCTGCCAGCCTGTCTAGTTTAGTTTTGTCCATTCTGAATACATTGCTCACCCAGCACTTACGTTGGTTAACATAAATCTCCCATTCCCTGCTCTACCTTTCCATGTGGACCAGTGCAGCATAGTCATTCCTGAAGGCTCATCTCAGCTGCTGTTAATTGCTGATTTCCAAACTTACAGTTGTGTTAACGGTCTACTTTTTGTGTTGTCGTAAGAAGAGAGTCTATTCCATTGCGGAGGAAAACTATCAGTGTTAGTACCTATAAATTGGACTGTTCTCACTTTTCTGTGTTTCTACTGACAAATGTTTTTAGTTCACAAATGAGTGTGATAATAAATGCACAAGGAAGCACATGGAGAGCAGCCTTTGGTAGCTTGCATCTGACTTGGCTGTGAAAAGGTGAAATGTCTTCAATCTCGTGCAAATGAACTCTGGAAACTTTTGCTGAAAGTTTAAGCATTCATATGGTTAGAGAATGACTTTCCAGGAAAGGGATTTTAAATATCTGGATTTCTGCTTATTATTATTATTTTGGCATTGCAGCTATATTATCTTTAAAGTTTAACTTTCTGGACTAGCCAAAGTAGAGTATCTTTCAGAAGAAGTCTTTCTGACTCGCCCAGCACTGGGCACTCTACCTGTTTCACTGTTTTGTTTTAGAAATAACAGAGCACACCCTCTTTCAGCCCAGAAGCAGTGGAGTTGATTGGCTGCAGAAACCAACAGGTAGATCTGTGGGTTCCTCCTCCTCGTCCTCTATTAGTTTGTCCTTTTACAAAGGGAAGGAAGAAGTTGTCAATTCTGTTTTCCTCAGAAGAGTTTATGGGTGAATAAACATTAGATTTATAGCTTCTGACATGCTGAGAAAGTGAAAGCTATTAGCCCAAGAGGGAGAAGCAGTATGATTCAGACTGCTCACATCTCACCTTTTACTTTCTAATACCTGGTTGTCTCAAATATGCATCAAACCAATGGAAGGAAAGTTCTCCCACTGAAAATGCAACACTTTTGTGTTCTTTAATGGGAAGACCTTTGAGGAGAGTACCTCTTCTCTCCCCCTCAGAGAGTAAGAAATGTAACATCAGACACTCCTGATATTAATTTAGATAAATACTCTTACAAATAAACGGGGTCTCCTTCCTATATGGGGGGAGAAGGGGGGAAAGCACCAAACCTATTTTTTCTCCTCATTTAACTGTTCCATGCCCAATTTGTCCTAAGGCAACCATGCACCTCGATGGATATCTGTGTAGTTGTGTACATCCACACAAATAAGCCATAAGCATTAAGGAGGCAGAAGAATGCGATTTCTTATTCTGCTTGGTTTTGGACACCTCAGTAAGCAATTGGTGTTAAGTTTGGAATGATTTTTCTGTGGTTAAAAGAACCTTCCCCAAGGAATGGCAGTGAGGAAAGGCATGTAGAGGTAACTTTTAAAAATAGAAGAAAAAAAATTGTTAATTGTCAAATAATCAAAACATTTTGCAGAATTTCAAAAAAAAAGTTCTCAAACATTTGCTGAATCCTGCCAGCTCTCTGTAAGTGGCTCAGAGAGTGCAGCTCTCTGAAAGTGGCAACAAAGCACTCCCAAGGAAGTGAGGCCAAGCCATTGTTCTGTGTAGCACTAAATGCAAACTGTCTCTAGCATGGCAGGTACCTGAAAACCTGCACTCACTGATATAAAACCCCTGGGTGTTTGAAACAAAACTGGCTGCGAGTCTGAGCTCCGGGATGAAGTCACGGGCCAAGAACAATTGCCACTTTCCAGGCTCTTTGGTGCCAGGAAATGCTCCGAGGGCACCGTGCCCAGCCACGTGCTCTTGTGCATGCACTGGTGGTGCCCAGGTTCCCGTGCTGAAGGACAGGTAGCTCTGATGCACTGGAAGGAGAGAAGGTGTTTCTTCCTGCAACTAAACAGAACAGTTTTCTCAGGTTACTGCTTGCTCCATGTGCTGGCTTCAGGTGTGGGCCTGTGGCGTAAATCCATGCGCTTGTCTTGAGGTGCCAACTGCAGGAGCTGGAAGTGGAGACCTTGTCCTCTGAAGGAAGGTACTTTGGAGACAGCTGACTTTCTTAAATGGTCGTAGATGAGTATCTGAATCAGTGGTTTAATGTTTTATTGCCACTTTGACCCACTTGCTTCTTTCCCTGCTCACCATAAGCCTTTTGACCTTATGCCAAGCATTTCCTACAAGCGCTCATATTTTGTCAAATAGATTGTGAGCAGATTCAGCCCAATACAAAATAATAATTTGCTTTCTCCTTCTTACAACCACGGGCACGGCTTTGAGAGCAGCATGAGTTGTCTATGGCTTTGTGTGTGGTGGAACTTGCTGCTGCCAAAATTGTGGTCTGGAACTGGTAGTGCTGTGAGCAAAAGAGCAGTGCCTGCCCACTGCCATTGCTTCTACTGCTCGGAGCCCTGTGCCTGGCTGTGGGATCCCATCCCCATAGCATGATTAAGTACCAGTATCAGGTATCTTCAGGTAACAAGGGACGATGTTCCTTAACTGACAATTTGGGGAAATAGTTGTTTGAGTGGTATGTGGGAAGGTCTGGGTTTGATATCCTGCTCTAAGATTTCTTAAGTGATCTGGGATTGTCAGCATCTCTCATTTTCAGATATGTGTTACAAGGCTAGAATATCCTCCTGCAGCTGGGCTGTTGGGCACTGTGCTGAGTGAACAGTGTTTGCAGTGAGTTGTTCAGAAGCACTGAGCACTGCTGGAATTCAGATGGAAGTGCAGTGCCCTCCACGTGCAGCACGTCGCTTTGCGATGCAGTGACAGTGGCAGATGTGAGTTCTGCATGTGGTGGGGAGTTTTGGCTGAGGGGAGTCACGCTGTCAGCCAGGGCTGAGTTTGGAAGACAAGCAGCACACCAAGCAGAAGCTGGGATGATGAGTTAGACCAGCTATAAATCACACAATGTATGGAAGGATTTTAACCTCTATCTGAGGACCTGGTGATTCTTGTACCAGCTCTGCCTTCCACCCTGTTTCAAGACTTACAGGTCAGACAGGTGATGCGCTACACTTTCTGCTTTAGTCATTATTTTGATAGCAGAGCTAAGGTGGGGGATCATAAGGTATCACATCTTCAGCCAATTTAATTTAGGCAGCATAGGGGAGTTGTGCATTCACAAGAGCAGCTGCTCTCCTGGAGACAATGCACTGGTTTGCTGGTGGGAGAGCAGCAGGGCAGGCAAAATTATCTGGGGGAAAACATCCATGCTTGCAGGTATTTGCACTTTATGGAGGAGCCAGGTACCCCAACCCCACATCCACCTCCACCCTGAGTGTCTCTGCTCTTCACACGTGTTCTCTGTGCCTGCAGTTTCACCAGCAGTTGTTGTTTGTGTAGCAAGTCCAGTATTTCCAGGAAGTGTGAGAACTGCTTGTGCACAGGCAATCCAGTGCTGTCTGGACACATCAGACACGCTACAAAGTCATTGTCCAGCTATGCAGGAGCATGGGCTGTAGGTGTGAGCATCTCCTTTCAGCGGGTTGCACCTCCTGCATCAGGATGCCAGCAGCTCAAATTGCATGATGCTCCCTGAAAGCCCTGACCTTATCATCCAGAGCTGTACAGCACTGTGGGTACAGGCAGCAGTTTTGGCCTGGGGGCCAGAAAGACACCCAGAGAGCTGCTACACATGGTGTTGTGAGCTTTTGCTCTTAGCCCATGGAGATGCTGAGCATTATAGAAATGTACTGATAAATTGATAGCACTGCCAACTTGGTACAGTGCAGCTGGGAAGCAGAAGGCTGCTTGGGTTAAGTGCTGTTCCTAAGCCTTGTAAAGTTTGTTGCATAGGAATCCCCAGAGGGTAAGAAGGAGGGAGAAGCTGGAGTGGAGCGGAGGGGAGTTGTTTGCCTGGAGCGATGATGAATGTATTTTTAGTGAAAGGGATGGGACATCTCTAGTCGTGGGATAACAGCTGCACAATTTCAAAATTCCTCTGACAAGATGTAGCCAATTCCATGGCTGGAGGGTTTTGTGATTTTTTTTTCTTCTTCTTTTTTTTCCAAAGCTCCAAGTGCCTTTGGCCAACCTCTTGTTCCCCAAGGGTATTTTTCAAAGCACAGATGCTGTTTCGCTGTGTTAATTAGCTCTGAATGTAAGCAGTTTCTCAGCTAGCATCCATGCTCTCAGCCTCCTATAGGCACTGAGTAGGATCCACCTCTTGCTAGAGGGAACTTTTTATGTCCCAGGATCAACTGAATCCCTCTGTAATTTCTGGAAGGTGAATTTCAGTGTATTTTGAGTGCCGGGAATTGTGGTTGGCTTCTTCAGCTGTTCCTCCTTTTCTGATTTTAAAATACAGCTGTGGAATGGAGGATGGAGCCTGCCAGGTTTTTTATCAGCCAGGTTGTTTCCAGAGCCCACCAGCAGGGATTTAAAGTACAGGCAAAATCACCTTTCATTGCTGTGCCTGAGGAAAGCAGCATCCCCCTTCCCCTGCTCTGAACTGGTGTTAGGATAGGAGCATGAACCTGTGGGAGGGGCTATCTCATTGAGGGATGGAAAGATTTCTGTGGCTGGTTAGATTATTATTATTATTTTTAATGTTTATTTTGCTGAGAGAATTCTGGAGACAGAGGGAGAAGGAGAACTGGGTAAACAACACTGGTAGCCCAGAGCTACTGTGGTCCAATTGCAGACACATGGGGTCAAATGCAGTGTGGGACCCACACTGGACAATGTGGGAATCCAGCCATCTACTTTCTATGCTAAGTGTTACCAAGTAAAGGAAATTGCATTGAAATGTTAAACTGTTGCCCTGATTTACATTTTCAGAGAGAAGAACTGGTGGAGTCAGCTCAGGACTCGCAGTAACCTGTGAGGCCTTGGGAACTGGCTGATATTTCAAACAAACAAAGGTCCCTGGCTGCCCTGTCAGGTTCTTACCATGTTGCTTATTGTCTTGTTCAACAGATCTTGGTGGATTTATTGCTAGGAGCTCTGAGTTGAGCTAGGTATATCAGTATCTTCATCACTGAGGTTGCTTTTGGTGTGTGCAATGCAGCCCACAGTATACCTGTGGTCAGAGCACTCTCCTTAGCTTAACTCCTATTTTATGAGAAAGATATGGGGTCAGCTTTGCTGGGCTGGTGAGGAAAACTGCTGGCCTTGTCTCAGTTATTTAAGGAAGGCTGGTGGTGCAGGACTTGTTGAAAGCAGGAGCAAAGTGAGGTAGTGTGCAGGGGAATGTCAGCGTGACCTCTGCAACTCAGTCAGCAATAGATTTTCCCTGGAACCCAGCTAGGTTACGGGGCCAGTGGCACTGTGCCTCCAGTCCTTTGGTGCTGTTTGGCTTACAGATGGATTAATGGTGAGACAGACATAGGAATTCTGTGCCAGAAGCCTGCTTCCTTGGCAGAATGGAGGAGCCATCTCTATGCCTTTGGCAGAGGAGCCATAGTGGCCTTCACCACCAAGGGTCAGAACAGTGATGCCAGTTATTCAGGCTGCAAGATCTGCATGCATGACCAAGTGACATGGTGGAATGAACCATTTTAATTTCCCTGCTTTTCTGTAGGCTATCCACTGCGTAAAGGAGCAAGGAGGAAAGTAGATGGCATGCAGTGTCACTATGGAGTCCATCCTAGGCTGGGTGGGTTCTACACAGCAGTTCAAAGGCATGGCTGAAGAAATAGATGCCTTTCTTGCTGTTTTCTTCTTTCTAGGATACTGGACCATTGTCTGGGTGTCAAGGACTTGTTGAATGACACTGGTGTAATTCTCATTTTTTCCTCTGCTTTACAGGTACAATGGCTTGGTGACAGGCTCTCGAGCCAAAGGTATCATTGCCATCTGCTGGGTGTTATCTTTCATCATTGGCTTGACACCAATGCTAGGGTGGCACAAGCGTTCCCAGATTGAAGAGCTGGGTGCTAATAAGTCCTCTCCCATCAACTGCAGCAACAGTATGGTGGTATGTCTCTTTGAGGCTGTGGTCACCATGGAGTACATGGTCTACTACAACTTTTTTGCCTGTGTGTTGTTGCCTCTTCTCCTCATGTTTGGCATCTACTTGAAAATCTTCATGGCAGCTCGACGGCAGCTCAAGCAGATGGAGAACAAGATGGTGCATGGGGAACGCTCACGTTCCACTTTGCAGAAGGAAGTCCACGCGGCCAAATCTTTAGCCATCATTGTTGGCTTGTTTGCAGTCTGTTGGCTTCCACTACATATTATTAACTGTTTCACCCTTTTTTGCCCAAATTGTGCCCATGCTCCCCTCTGGCTGATGTATCTAGCCATTATCCTGTCTCATGCCAACTCGGTTGTTAATCCTCTAATTTATGCCTACCGAATCAGGGAGTTCCGATACACCTTCCGTAAAATCATCAGCCAGCATATCCTGGGAAGGAAGGAGCAGTTCAAGGCGGGAGCAGCCAGCATTAGGACTTCCACGCATGGTGGGGATGGAGAGAACGCCAGCATACGAATCAGTGAGTATGCGTTAGAAGTGTACACCAATGGAGAGATCCACAGGGATCCTGAAAAGCAGGACTTAAACAAATGCAAAGCTGTCTTGGAATGGCACCAGAATGGAAGTGCTCTGGACATGGAGACAAATGGGCATCTCCCACGTTCCTGCAAAAATGGGATTCTCTCAGATGCATGTGTGAACAGGGAGCTTCACCATGAAGAGTTAATAGATGCCCAGGTATCTTTCTCAGATCTAGAAAGCACAGCCTTTGCAGCAGCTGATGTTTCCTGATGAATCGTTCACAGTCTTCCTGGTATAATTATTTTATTTTCCATGGGCAGCCTCTGCCACGGCAGAAGATGAGGCTGGGGGGCGGGGGGAGAGACACGTATTCAAGTTACTGTGGAGGAAGGGGTCCTCACCCAGGACATTTGTGGCAATCCTAAATACTAGACTGGAGAAAAAGCCAAGAGACCATTGAAACAGACTGAGAAAGGAGGGACATGTAAACCATCGATGGCCTGTCACCAAGAGCAGTGACAGGGTCAAAGATGGCATTCCAAATTGAGCACTGGGAGACTGCTGAAGCAGGGCATATCGTGACATTACGCTATACGGTGTGTCTGTGGTTGTACGTCTGTTTTGCTGTCTTTACCAACAGAAATAAAACCATGGCTGAAAGCATTCACTTGATTGTAAGAGCAACAAGGGGGAGCATCTAATTCTTTGGCCCTGCAACAAATGGAAGGAAGATAGCAACATCTATTGGTCAGGAAGGATGCCATCAGCTGCCTGGACAAGAAAGGAATTTACCTGATGGGAGCTTTGGATACCTTCGACCATGACATTTTGTCTTTCAGTTCATGTTTTTAAAGCTTATAGTGCAACAGGTTGCTCGGATGTTTTCTCTTGTCTTGATTAGATTCCATTGTGTTAAGTTATAAAGATGAACAAGAACTCATATCCATTGCCTGGGCACTCAATGTTCCAGATGCACAAGACAAATGTAACCTCATAGTTCTCCACTCTATCCAACAAATAATGAAAACTGAGACTAATATGGAGTTCCCTTAGCAAAAGGACAGTCAGCAGGACTTGGTGCTAGAGCATGGATGGTCTTCGTCACCAGGGGTGGCCCTGCCCTGAGGTGCAGTGGAGAATCATCAGGTGTGAGGTATCTGCAAGCTGGTGGGCACTGTCTGGCTACTGCTTTTGCCTCTGTGTCTGTGCCTGCCCTGGTTCCCAGAGTACAAATTAATTCCATGGTCCGAAGTTGTCATTCTCACTCAAAAGTCTGTGGGATACATTTTTTTTATTTTTTGATGGGAAGGCAGGGTGGGGAATGACACAGGATGAGACAGACATACCTACTTACTTTTGGAATCCCAGCTCAGTCTGAACATCTTTTTTCTCCTGTGGTTTCAGTTTTTTCCTGATGTGCTTTGCTGTGAAGCCTGATGTGTCCCAGCAGTGCAGAGGCCAACAGATCTCAGTCTGTCTGGTTAGAAGATACTCTGAGGAGCTGGAAGCAGTCAGTGTTAGTAGAAGTCTGCTTAGAAACTGCAGTAGTGTGTGTAAGAGAGCAGGCAAATCTGCTACAGCAAAGGTATGCACTGATACGATTTGTCGTAGAGGAGTTTCACAGCAGCTTAGTAATTTTCTGTATCACCTATGAAGCCGTGGTAGCTCAAGGGCAGCAGAGTGCCATGTTAGCTTGTATTCTACCTAAATATTTTCCAGTCTTTGTTTTCCAGACAAATACTCTATGCCCCTTGCCATCAGCCTTCCAGGGAGATGGGCAATAATGGTCCTACTAGAAAGTTAGAAGTCTGGCAGTTCTGAGGATCAAGAGTTTTTCCTTAGCTAAAAATATCAGAAGTGTCAGCCTCCAACCCTGGCTCCTCCTTGTGTCTCTCCACTAACATTTCAGAACCCAGATAATCTCATTTTTAGGAAGGAAAGTGGAGCTGCATTTTTGTATTTGGAGAATGGCACACTAGGTTTGTGTGTTCTCTGTCCATGTTTATTTTAAATATTGTGAATTATTAGAATGAAAATTAAGTTTTACTTGAAGAAAGTTTTCTTTTTTTTCCAGTCTGTCTGAATGAAGGTGAAGAGTGGTTTATAATACTGAATGTGTCCAAAGTACATGACTGCTCTTGGCTAGCAAAAAGCTTACTGTAAGCTGGGTAAGAGGATGCGTTTGTCACCACAATCCTTAGCAGAAGGACAGGCAGCTATATAGAACAGTAGACTTCACAGTTTAATTGAATTGCTGCTTTCTTGGCATGGCTCTACCACATAGTCTAACATCAGAGGTGTGGATTATCACTCTAGCACCATTAGCAAATACATGACCGTTTCCCTATGACTGATGCTGTAGGCAGGCCCTCTGCAGGGTGCCTTGGGATCTTGTTGCTCTTTATCTTCCTTGATGGAATATTTCTGTCGGCTCTGTGCAGGATGACTCCTCTGGCCTCCTGAAACAGCAGCAGAGGAATTCAGTCTGAAAAACGGGGATCTGATCTCTTTAGGCCTCAGCTGGGAGCTGAAATGTTTCTAAGAATAACACAAGATTACATCCGGTATTCATGTCAATAACAATTAGGTTCACAAAGAAGCAGAGCAGGGAAGGAAGTGTGGGAAAATACCAGTATAGCTCATGTGCTGGAACACAGGCAAGTGCAGAAGTGTCTCCTATTGAGCTTTAGTTGTCATTGTAAAGGGATGTTTTATGCCACGTTGCATCAGACTTTCAACAGCTGATGTAGGTTGGTTGCTTTCTATTGTTTCCTGAGCTTCTTCGCACTCAATTGTGGATTCTTCTTGCTTGGTTGCCACAGGAATTGAATTGATCTATGTTGATGTGACAAAATTAAGATTGTCCCTCTGGAAAACTATCCTGCCCAACCAAAGTAAGATTGCCATGCAAACTTAGAGTTTCCAGATGTCCTGAAACCAGTTTTTCTGTGGCTGTTTGAGTTGTCTCCCAACTGTATCCAGTCCCTTTCAACATTAGTGATCTAGATTTCAAATGAAAAAGGGCCAGGGGATGTGTGTAGGAGGATGTGCAGTGGTTGTAAGAAGGCAGCATGTTTTGTATGGAATTGGAAGTCTGTAGTCACAGGAAGGAGTGGAGGGCAATTGCACCACATGCTGCCTGCCTTCTGGCAAACATATGTCTGAGATGGACCTTCAGAAGATGTTTCTGAAGTTGCTGGGGGGGAGCGTGAGCCTTTTGAACAGAATTTTGGAATTCTTGTTTCATGATTTCAAGGCTTCCTTCCTTGTATTGAAAAAGAAGTTTTAAAATCCCATGAATAAAATATGCTCTCCACTCTTGAGAAATGCACCTCTTCCAAACTATACAGAGCAAGTTTGAAAAGTTAAAATTTAACATTTTTTTCCTAACTTCCCTTACTCATATTCCCATTTTCCTTCCAGCTGGAGATTTAGCTGATGAAATAGCTATTCTGGATAAACAAAGATGGTGCAAGACAAAGGGAAGAATGGGGTGACCATCAGGAGAGGATAGAGAAGATCTCCTTAGGAATCCAAGGTGCAGTGGGTCCAGAGAGTAACAGCTGGGGTAAGAAGAGACTAATTTCATTGAATTGGAACATGTTACTAAAAATGACTCAAAATCCATAGAGGGATGCAGTGCCTCATTTGGTGAGAGGGCATTCCATGAATTTCACCATTCCCTTGAGACTACTAGGCTCCAGGGTTTGTCTGCTTTATAGGGTTTGGGAGAAAGTAAAATTCTGATCAGTTGCCAGGAGCAATTTTATCATGAGGAGTTCTTAGGTCTCTTTCCTCAGTAGGGCACTGCTTTTTTGTGTGAGCAAATAAATGCACTTAGAATTTTGTTCTGTGCTTTCTTTTGGATCGGCAGTATCTCAGAGTTCTGTGCAAGCCTGAACTACTGCTTATGAATGGAGCCAACTGAGATGAGAAGGAGACTTGTGAGGCTGATACCGGTTTACAGAGGGCATGGCAGGACAGTTGGGGTACTGTAAATAGAAAGGACTTGCCACTGGTCCTAGCTGCTGCTAGCAAGTTTATTGTGCAGACAGATTTGGGAGTTACAAGGAATACTCTGAATCTTTGATCTTTCATTGAAAAGAAACTCTGGAGATGCTGGAGGGCATAGGAAAGTCTTTAAGGTGTGGGAACAGACTGGGGTGTTAGGGTTTGATGGGAAATCTTGATGTAGAAGGAAGATTTGTAGGGTATGTGTTGGGAGGTTATCATGAGAGCAGGAATGTGCTGGAAAGAGCTGAGGTTTGCACTGATAGCCTCAGAGGAGTGGAAATGGCTGAATAAGGACTCTGGAAGGGATTTATAGTGTTATGGTGCTCCTGGGTCACTGCAGAGGGGCAGCCTTGCCCTGATAACTGCAGGGGATTGACTTTGTGTGGTTGATATGTGACTGAGGAAGAGATGTTTTTTTCTGGATTATCTCATTTTCAGATGCTTATTTCATAAGCACAATCAGGTGAAATGAGCCCTTCTGCTTCACGAGCATCACCCCGCGCACACCATCCTACCCCTAAGAAAATCAGTTCAGCCCTGCTTTGTGGGAAGGACAAGCATACAGTTAACAGCTGTGATGCATTGAAACTGTAGAATGCTCTAGAGGTGTTTGGTACATCAGCTGCCTAATAGTTCTCTCCTGATTTGTTTTGGGCATCAGATTGCTCTGAGACAGACCGAGGAGCTTTGTCTTTCTGGCCCTGAGCGTCTGACCTTTTTTTACCAGTAAAACACATCCAGAGTAACTAAAACGACACCAGTTCCTGATTTGCACAAGGCAACTAAACCCTAAATGAGGCAGTGTTCTGTATAGCTTCCTGTGTTATTCATCTGCTGGGACTCTTAACACAAGAATGTGTTGCATTCAAGACTGGAACCTGTTGATCTGAGAACATCCTATGCTTCCCCTGTTCTGTCTCAGGAGCTGGTGTTCCTGCCCCCATTTCTTTGGAGGGTTGTCTCTGTGGTCTGTCAGCCAAGACACTACGAACACCTGCTGCACATGCTGTCACTAAGAAACACTTACTCTCTTAATTTAAATGTTTTATGAATATAATTGTTGTTTTCCCTCTGTTTGTCAGTTACCAGTGGGAGGGGAGGGAAAGGGGTGGGAGAATCTGTGCATGCATATGTATTTAAAGTGCATTGACCAAAGTTTGTTTTCTTTCTTGAACCTGTGAAGTTTTAATATCTGTGAAGTCATCAGACTGCTGGGCAGTGAGGAGCCACTGGTGCTGCTGAGTCTGTCTTGGTTACATTTCTTAATAAGCATTAAAATAATAAAATATATTTGTAAAAGTGAGCATGAGTGTCTTTGTTCAAGGGAGATCTGTCTATTTTATGAACGTTTTATTATTCTTTTATTAGCTTTTTCCATAGGCTCGTTCTTCCAGAGAGCTCTTTTCCCTGGTACTACCTATTAAAGATGTCAGCATGGACACGGTGACGGACCCAGTAGTCTGGAAGTGGAAGCAGTGAATCTAGATGCTACTGGTGCATCTCAGGCCAATTCTGAGCAATGTTGACAGAATGCAGCAGGAATAATTTCCAGCTTTTCACAGCTGGCAGCTACTAAATGAGTATAGGGGGTTAGTGAAAGTCTGTACGATCCAGGAGCATTTGGAATTGGGAAGTGTTGAAATGAAAGTTCACCAGATAACCATCAGCTACTGCTCATTTCTCTTCCCGTTCACTTTGCAGCTGGATTGGAGGCCTCACTGGAGGCCCTGCTTTGTGGAGAGGTGCCGGCACCCTGGTGCTGTGTAGCCAGCTGTGCCCGAGCTGTTCAACCAACTGTGTAATTGAAAAGCTTTTTGATTTTTCCCCTCCTTTTGCAAACAGCCTGCATTTTGTTCTGCTGCATCAAAGGCCAGGAGCCGGGAGGAACAATGGGTCTGCAGGAGCCCTGGGGAACAATGGCTGTACCTGGTCCTGGGAAGAAAGCAAGTACTTGGAAGAACAGACAGAGCTCCCAGTTCAGCAACACAATCGGCCTCATCTGGAAATCTCACTTCGGAAATCTACACCTTGGCATGGTCACCCAGAGAAACTGAACTGCAGGGCTGCTGCTGTAGACTGAGCTGAGGGACATCATCAGTGCAATCTTTACTGCGTTACTGGGAACTGATGACATTGTTGAGTGTTGAAATAGGATGGAGCAGTGGAGCACGGCATTTTCCCTGCAGACAGGTGGATGACGTGCTTTGTCTAAAAGGTATTTTACAGCTTTAAAGCAGCAGGATCTTCCTTGTCACTGCTGCCACTGAACAGGAAGCCTTTGCTGCTAAGAATAGTGCATACGAGTTGCCTGCTGTGCTCACGGCCACTGTGTATTTCAAGGAGAAATTCTGGGGGGTTAAAAGCTGTGAGCATCTTTTCTGGGGCCCTATGGACCTCATAATTTACATTCACAGGAAAGATTCTGCACTGTTTTGCATTTGGCCAAAGTGAACAAGTGAGATTCTCCATGTGTGACTTCTGCCAGCTCAGATCCTGGGAGGAGTCCACCTCTGATCCCTGAAGTTAGATGATGCAACTCACTGTAGACTGGAGTCTCACTGAATATACATGGAGATGTGTTATTCTTCCTGACCTCCCATTCTCCTCATCAGTGCTGTTCTGGGAAGAAAGGAGGATGCTTCTGGATACTGGAGTCATTTCCTCAGAAATGACCCAGTGGATGGGACTATTCGTAGGATTTTTTGGCTGCAGAGTGCACTACTCCTGTGAGCAGAATCATTGCTCTGCTGTGAAACTGCAGTGTTTGCCACTGAGATCCTGCTGAGTGACAGGAAGTTCTACCCAGATCTCAGAAAATCAGAGGTTCATTTTGAAAAGTAGAGTCCTTACAGTGCATGAAACCAAATAAGCTGTGCCAAGTGTGGGGCTGAGAATAGCATGGTGATATTTTGGCAAGTGAAAGGCAAAGAACTTTTGATCTCCAGGTTCAGAGTAAACGGTGTAAGGATGAGGTTATTTGGAGTGCAGATCCGTACTGTGTGGTCTGAGTCCGATGCACTGAACTCCAGACCTGGGACTGTGGTTTTTGGGAGTGTCTTGATGCTCTCCAGAGAGGTGACTGCAACTTCTCCAGAGTTCTGGGCAGCCTTTAAGCCTGCTAGCTTGGAAACTGAAGCACCAGAGCTGTGATCACTCTGGTTTTGTTTGCCAAGGATTTACCCAGAGCCTTGGGCAGCTCTGATTTTTTACCTTACCTAAGGCAAGGAGATTAGATAACAGCTTGGAATGAGAGTAAAGAAAGTCCATGCACATGGAGTATCTTGCTGCCTCAGCTGTTGGTGAGATCACGGGGATGCCTTTTGGGCTAGTATTAGTCCAGGATATTATTCTAAATGGGAGTTAAGCATATCTTGGTTGGATACTCTGCTGGAAAACCTGCAGCTGCATCATTTGGGCATTTGGCATCATCTAGGATTTGGAAGTTTCATGTGCCTGTGCTTTAGAGTTTTAAGGGGAGCAAAACTGTGCAGTGTGAGGATTATATACAGGAGAGGTGTGGGGAGGCCTAATGAAGAGACAATTGAATGGCCTGGATCAGTTCTATGAAGAATGCAAAACAAGCCTGGGCCATCTCAGGGTAAGCTGCACTTATGGTGCCTCCTGAACCCATGTCCTGTTATTGTTGGTGTGGAACGTGAGTGTCTGGGCCAATGAAAATAAGGAAGGCAGCTTGACAGACACAGATTTTATCTTTTGAGATTCGTCATGACCTTTCTAGTGTTTAATAAATAAAGTTGACTCAGGAATTGGCAAGTGCCTTATAACATGCAGTCCCAGTGTCAGGACTCGGCAGAATGTTCTGCTTAGCAATGCGCTCTGTGAGCTTTGTTTGCCAAGTTCCTATTTTGGAGGTGTGTTGAAGGGCTGAGAAATGGCAGATGCTGAACCTTCTGCAGGCAGGTGCACTGGGCCCAGCCATTTCTCCCCATGCTGATCCAGGCTGGATGAAGGTCACGCTGATGCAAACTTTAATTGCTGGGCAAGAAAAAGAAAAGGAATGTCTTGCAAAGTAAGAATGCTGCTTGCGCTGGTGTGAATCCTGGGGCAAGGAGGACTTCCATCCTTTCACATTCCTGTATAATCCATCAAGCATTTCAATCAGCACTGAACACTATTGCTTCCTGTATTGCTTTTTGAGCAGCTCTGCCATGCACTCTGGATCCTGCGATATTAAACATCTCCATCATCCAGAGGATGCGGCCAATTTTGCAGGTGACAGGAATGGCAGCTCTGAGGCTTGCTTGCTGCCTGTGAATCCCTGCCAAGCCATCTCTTCTGCTAACTGACTGAGAGCAATCACAGCCAGGTTTTCTGAGCTAACCCTGGTGGCAGAGACTGAGAAACACACTGCTCCTTTGAGAACAGCTTGGAATCGTTTGCTGCTAAACTTGAAGCCATTTTGTGATGGTAACATAGCAGACTGAAGCTACTCTGCAGAGCAAAAATGCGCTGGGTGGAGGTGAGTTTTTGTGTTCCCCATCCCAGAGAGAACACAGTGGGTTCACAACGATTATGACTGAGCCAAAGGCAGAGCCTCAAATGCTCAGCATTGATTGCATGAGTGCTCAGCACCTTAAAGTAAAGGACAACTGGCTGCTTCATTTCTGAGGTGTCTGCCATATGGGAGCAGTCCAGTATTCCAAGTGTTTCCTGCCTTCCTTTATATTCATGCCAAAAGCACTAATAGAAATAGGGTGGAGACAAAAAATCTCAGACCCTCCTGAAGATCATCCTCTTAATTCCAGAAGGATCAAAATGCTAAAGGTTGCATTAGAAAAACAGAAGTAGTTTTTTCTCCCACCATTGGTAACTCAATGCCACAACTAAAGCTGAGAGTCAGCTGCTTCTTCTACAGCTGTGTTCTTTCTGAATTCATGAGAAATAGCATTTTGATTTCCTTCCAGAGGAAATATACAGTAATATCCCTGACTTGTACTGAGACCTTCCAATCTGTAGCACTAACCCATGTCACATTCAACTGCAACTGTGTTAAACCCAAGGTCCCCTTTTCCTTATGAATTGACCAGTGCTTGGGAATTGAGGCTTTTCACAATAAATCTTTACATCTTGCTTCCTCTAAGCACTTGCTTCCCATGCTGGTTCCTTCCCCTCCTATGTTCTCCATTTGCAGGTGATCCAACCTTTCCTGCAGCATGCGAGACCTGGGCAGCACAAGAAGTTTATCTGAGATGCTGGGGCTGTCTTTCCCTTTCCTGTGGTTCTGCACTACCCAAGCTTCCAAAAATGTAGCAACGTTTCTGTAAATGTTCACCGTGTGGCTCTGGGGTATGGCCTGTCTGCACGCTAACAGCAGTCTCCGTTTCCCTTGCAGGAGGACCAGCACTTGATCTGGAAGCACCATGTGGGACTTACGGTCCTCCCAGGACGAGTTTGATGGTTTTCTTCCCATCAGAAGCATGAGGCCATGCTCTGGGGTCAGGATGTCAGTGACTTACAGATGACACGGAGCACTGAAGCCTGCGTGTGAATCAGGTCTTGGAAGAGGCTGTGCTCCGTTTGCCGCACAGACACTTTCACTCTCTCAGAAGGGAGGTCCTCCTGCACGTAGCCATGCAGTTGGCGTTTTCCAGGTGGCTGCTGTGCACCAGATGTGTGCCAGTGCTGCAAAACACGTGTCCTTGTTGTGCTTCCTCTACCGATGCATCTGCTGATGTCAGCTTCCAGGTAAGGCATGCAGGAACCTGCTCCATGTTGGCATCTGTGGCCTTTGCCCTCTCCTGGTCCTAAGGAAGTTAAAAGTGACCTAAGGCTGTTTTTCACTGAGCTGTGGTCAGTGCTGCAGATGGGGAAGCAATGGCAGTTTTCCAACAGGTGAGACCCTCCAGGCCAACTAGCCAGACAAGAAAAATAAGCGCAGGAAATAGTATCCCTGCAGTCAGATAACTGAGACACAAGCGGCTGGGAGCAATCCTGCTGTGTGTGTGTCTGGGGGACAGAGCTTGGAGCAAGCAAATGTCAGGCCTTGTCACAAGGAAAGGGCCTGTATGTGGGTGAGTTAGTGCTTGCAAAGGGCAAAAACTGGATGTGACTCTTGTCTTTCTGTCCCAGTATCAGTACTTGTGTCTCTGTGCAGGTAGACACTGCTCTGTCTCGCCTGTGAAACCCATTCCCTGCCCCTCCTCTTGTTGGCCTCTTCTATGTGGCATGTCTGCAGGTCCTGTGTGCTTCCCAGCTTTGTCCCCAGTGGTATTGCTGGGCAGTGTTGTGGTGAGGCATCTGCTGCTCCATCCTGTGCTCAGAGAGATGGAGAAGCCACCTGTG